TTTTCACATGCATAAGCACAAATAAATGAATATGATCTTAAAGAGGAACTCCAGCAATTAACAAAATGATCCTTGCAGTGGGGCTACACCTACATTGCAAGGTTTAACTTCTCATTTTGGTCTAGGGGCTGGATTAAAGAAGATATACTTACCTGACCCTCAGGCCCGCCTGGGTGCTAGACCAGTTCCCGCAGTGTCTTCTCCCTGCGCTTCGGTTGTCTAAGCCCCACTGACACCATCACGTCTAATGCAGATCCATCTACCTGCATTAGACATGAGGATTCCAAGGGTCATACCATAGCCGGAGCGGAGGGAGAGAGAGGTGAGTGCTAAACACCGCAGGACCAAAAATCAGATGAGTATTTCTTGTGTATTCTGGCCCCTAGACCAAAGCGAACAGTTAACCTTGCAAGGCGGAGGGCAAGGGTTCATTTTGTTAATGGCTGAAGTTCCTCTTTAAATTAAAATTCCAGCCATAGCCTTTTTCCATTGTTTTTAGCAGAGTATGAAAGAAAGGGTTATTACTATATCCCTGAGGGGAGATTAAAGGAGAACTATGAGGCGAGTGCTTTTCACTCAACTTATAGTTCTAGCCGACCTGTGACAATTAAACTGTCACAGGTCGGCTCAGTAGATCGGGAGGTGAGCGAACATATACTGGCGTTCGCTCACTTCTCGATCCTGTCACGGCTCTCTGCCGTGTCAGGGGAGGGGCTGGATTCCCCCTCCCCGCTCCGATCCTCCAGCACTAACTGCGGCGTCTCAGTATACCGCGAGACTGAGCCTAGGGTGACGGGAGGACGCTAGTTTGTGTCCTCCCGTTACCCTAAGGAGAACTATGAGGAAAAGACTTAACCCCATAGTTCTCCTTTAACTCCTGTTCTGCTGATAGCTGTCAAAGATTGACCTTACTTTTGGGAGAATTCCGCTCATATACAAGAGTGCTGTTATGATAAATAGATTCATGCCGCCGAACACAACAACAAACCCTTCCAACTTATATGAAGTATTCCCAATCTAAAATCCTGTGATACTAATAACTGTAGCAATAATAGAACTGTTACCATACAGTGTAAGAGGAAAGCCAAAAACTGCCAGGCCCATTCACACCAGATGGGATATGAGCTGCGCTGGCTGTTGTCTCCAGCCCAGCCCCAGCCCCAACACAACGCAATTGGCCTTGTCAGGGATGGACACCATTCACACCACCACGTTACGGTGGTGTGCGCTTAAAAAAAAGTATAGCATGCAATACTTTTTTGTGCAGCGGGATGCAATGCGGAAACAACTGCCTGGCACCACGCTGTACCCATAGAACTGAATGAAATGTAATTTGTGAAAATCCAATAAAGGTCTAAAAAAAAAAAAAGTGCGATGTGCCGGGATTGTGGCATCAGCACTGTGCTGGGCACTGCACACCAGCTCGCAGCGGCTGGTACAATGGGCCCTACATCTGCGCAACAGCTACAGAAGCATAAGGCACCTAGTTCTGCCGCCAGAGGATGCACCTACATCCATAAAATATGACTCTAGGGTCTATGTCAGGGACCTGTGAAAGTAGAGTCTACATCAGGGTAATAAGACACTATAGTCTATGTCAGTGGAATATGACACTAGAGAATACATGAGGGGAAAATGACACTAGGGACTATGTGGGGAGAATTTGACACTGTGAACTGTGTCATGGTAGTATGACAATAAAGACCATGTGAGGGGAGTATGACACTAGGGACCATGTGAGGGGAGTATGACACTAGGGACCATGTGAGGGGAGTATGACACTAGGGACCATGTGAGGAGAGTATGACACTAGAGACCATGTGAGGGTAGTATGACACTAGAGACCATGTGAGGGGAGTATGACACTAGAGACCATGTGAGGAGAGTATGACACTAGAGACCATGTGAGGAAAGTATGACACTAGAGACCATGTGAGGAGAGTATGACACTAGAGACCATGTGAGGGGAGTATGACACTAGAGACCATGTGAGGGGAGTATGACACTAGAGACCATGTGAGGGGAGTATGACACTAGAGACCATGTGAGGGGAGTATGACACTAGAGATCATGTGAGGGGAGTATGACGCTAAAGACTTCATAAATTGGAAAAACTAGAGGGATAAATGAAACTAGAGACTAAGACTAGAGACTAAGAGAGGGGATTAGACTAGAGACTAAGGGAGGGGAACATGACATTAGACTAGAGGCTATGTGATGGGGACATGACATTAGACTAGAGGCTATGTGAGGGGGACACAACATTAGACTAGAGACTAAGGGAGGGGAACATGACATTAGACTAGAGGCTATGTGATGGGAACATGACATTAGACTAGAGGCTATGTGAGGGGGACATGACATCAGACTAGAGGCTATGTAAGGGGGACATGACATTACACTAGAGGCTATGTAAGGTGAACATGACATTAAACTGGAGGCTATGTGAGGGGAACTTGACATTAGACCAGAGACTATGTGAGGAGAACATTACATTAGAGACTATGTGAGGAGAACATGACATTAGAGACTATGTGAGAGGAAAAAAACATTAGAGGCTATGTGAGGAGAACATGACAGTAGACAAACCAGAGACTATGTGAGGAGAACATGACATTAGAGGCTACGTGAGAGGAACATCACATTAGAGACTATGTGAGGGGAACATGACATTAGAACAGAGACTATGTGAGGGAAGCATGACATTAGAGACTACGTGAGAGGAACATGACATTAAAGACTATGTGAGGAGAACATGACATTAGACACTATGTTAGGAGAACATGACATTAGAGACTATGTGAGGGAAGCATGACATTAGAGACTATGTGTGGGAAGCATGACATTAGAGACTATGTGAGAGGAACATGACATTAGAGACTATGAGGAGAACATGACATTAGACCAGAGACTATGTGAGGGAAGCATGACATTAGATGATTAGAGACTATGTGAGGGAACATGACATTAGAGACTATGTGAGGGAAGCATGACATTAGAGACTACGTGAGAGGAACATGACATTAGAGACTATGTGAGATGACATTAGAGACTATGTGAGGAGAACATGACATTAGAGACTATGTGAGGGAAGCATGACATTAGAGACTATGTGAGGAGAACATGACATTAGAGACTATGTGAGGGAAGCATGACATTAGAGACTACGTGAGAGGAACATGACATTAGAGACTATGTGAGGAGAACATGACATTAGAGACTATGTGAGGAGAACATGACATTAGAGACTACGTGAGAGGAACATAACATTAGAGACTATGTGAGGAGAACATGACAATAGAGACTATGTGAGGAGCACATGACATTAGAGACTACGTGAGAGGAACATGACATTAGAGACTATGTGAGAGAAACATGACATTAGAGGCTGTGTGAGAGAAACATTACATTAGAGACTATGTGAGAGAAGCATGACATTAGAGACTATGTGAGAGAAGCATGACATTAGAGACTACGTGAGAGGAACATGCCATTAGAGACTAAGAGGAGAACATGACATTAGACCAGAGACTATGTGAGGGAAGCATGACATTAGATGATTAGAGACTATGTGAGGGAACATGACATTAGAAACTGTGTGAGGGAAACATGACATTAGATGATTAGAGACTATGTGAGGAGAACATGACATTAGAGGCTATGTGAGAGAATCATACTATTAGAGGCTATGTGAGAAGAACATGGCATTAGAGGCTATGTGAGAGAAGCATGACATTAGAGACTATGTGAGGGAACATGACATTGAGGTTTATATCATGGCAATATGACAACACAGTCTAAGTGGGGGAATATTGCACCAGAAGCCATGTGAGGGGAATGGACTACTGAGGACTGTGTGAACAGAACATTAAACGGGGGTCTAGTGTCAGGGGAATACGGCACTGTGCTCTTTCTCAGGGAAAAACAGTCCTGGGGTCTATGTTAGGGGAATATGACATTAGAAACTTTGTGGGGGGCTATGAGAACAGAGGCATGTGTGAAGAGAATATTGCAAAGACATCTATGTCCAGGGAAAGTTGCACTTTAGTCTCTATCAGGGAAATATGAATATGGAGTTTACATCAGAATATAACACTGGAGAATGTGAGGAGAATATGTCACTGGGAACTATGTCAGGGGAAAATATAAAGGAAATATGGCATTGATATGTATGTCAGGGAATCGTATGACACTGGGGTCTATGCCAGGACTATATGACACTGGGGACTATGAGGGAGAAGTATGATAGTGGAGTGAATGTGAAGGGGATATGGCAATGAGATTGATGTCTGGGGAATATGACGCTGGGATCTACATCCAGAGAATACGTCATGACGGATTATGTGAGGGGGAATATTGCACTGGAGTATATAAGGGGAATAGGGTACTGCCAATAAAACACTGGGGAGTATGTCAGGTGAATGTGGCCCCATGTGAGGGGAATACCACACTGGGGTGTATATCGCGTTAATACCACACTGGGGTGTATGTTAGGTGAATATGGCATCATGTGAAGGGAATACCACCCTGGGGGTGTATGTCAGGGTTGTACCACACTGGGGTGAATGGTAATACAACACTTCCGTTTATGTCAGGGGACTATTACCACACTGGGGTGTATGTAAGGAGAATATGGCACCATGGGAGGGGAATACCACCCTGGGGGTGTATGTCAGGTGAATATGGCACCCTGTGAAGTGGTAAACCACACTGGTGTGTATGTCAGGTGAATATCACACCGGGCACTATGTGACATGAATATGACAGGGTCAGCTGGGATTAAACTGGGCACCGTGACGTCACGAGACCAGAGGAGGGCACCAAGATGGTACATAGACCTGCCCGGTGTGATGCATTGGCGATGAATGAGCACAAACAGTAAACAATACAGCAGTGCAAATGCTTGCTCAGCACGCCTTAGAGGGCTCACTGCACAGAAAGGTGGAAGTCAGTGATGCAATGTGACAACTGGTGACCCGCCGGTTGTCACAGTCACTCACTCAGCCAGGACTCCAGGCTCTCTCCGTCACTCTCCGCCATATTGCCAGCGGAGGCCCCGCCCAGGTGCAGTGACAATTAGGAAGCGGTCACCGACTATCTCGCGAGAGGTGAAGGGATCCGTGTGACCTGCTGGAGATGGCGGCGCCCGCGGGGAGGCTGTTCGTGCAGCGTCTGAAGGCCGGACTGCCCGGGTGTGTGGTGAAGGGATTGAGAGGAAAGCTGGCCCTGCTGTGCGGATATGGTGGCAGGTCGGGGGGAGGTGAAGGGCAGAGCTGACAGTGCTGAGGGAATAACCTGTGCAGGGTGAAGCTCCTTTCCAGGGTCACTGTGTCCTGCTGGTGGGTGGCCCGAGTCAGGACATGGCACATTACTGACTCATAACATAGGGATGACTTCACTGCTGTCCATGCACAAGATGCTTGCTGAGCACTGTGCACAGCATGGACACTTCACTGGCTGCATGCTTGTTCAGGGTCAGTAGCTCATAATGTACTAAAGTCAGATAATCAGCCTGATGGCTAAACAAGTTGCATGTACATCAGCAGTCTAAATAGTCCTCCCCAGTGGCATCACGGGGTGGGGGTGCAGCCCGCACCATGTGACATTTTGGTGTCACCCCCTCTTAAAAGTCAGGGACTCAGTCATGGACCAAGAGCCTGACAGCGTCATGAGAGAGAGGAGAGGGCCCAGCAGCATATGATCACGCCAGGTAATATCCGCTTCTCTCTTTGCCGCCATCCATCACCAAGAAATACATCACTATGTTCATGCATGATGACTAGGGTCGCCACCTGTCCGGGATTCACCCGGACAGTCCAGTTTTTGAGTCCTGTGTCCAGGTTTCAGGCCAGCTGACACCTGGACAAAAGACACTAAGTGCTGGCCAGATGCAGCTGCCTGAGGTCCCGTGCTTGCAGGGGACCTCGGCAGCCTTCCTGTGAGCCGCAGGTGCCTGTAAACATCTCTGTCTTCCTGACACCATATTGCCCGCCTCAACCCCTGGTGAGACAGCACACAGCCCGCACAGCACTCCTGAGAGCCCGCATAGACCCCCTGAGAGCCCGCATAGCCCCCCTGAGAGCCCGCATAGCCACCTGAAAAATGCCGCATGCAGCGCTTGTGTTCGGATTTCACTTGAAGAAAAGGTGGCAACCCGATCTGCAACTAATGATTATTCGCATCATCGATTAGTTGGACAATTATTTTTTCAATTTAATTGTATCGGGGGGAAAAAAAGTATTTACGTTTTGTTATAAATGTATTATTATTTAGTTAATAAATATGACTTATTTAATTATTAACTATTGTTATTTA